GTGGGGGGGATGTGGGGGAGGACGGGGGCTTCCTCCTCCCTTTGCCCACACCGGGAGTGGGTGGGCAAAGGTGGGTGGGAGGTGAGCCCGTGTGGCCGTGAGTCCAGCACCCAGCGGGGAAAGGGGCAGCTGCGGGTGCCATGTCAGGAGCTGTTGAGGGTGCTGGGATGCCCGTCTGTCTGTCCCGACACAGCTGGCTTGTCAGACCACTCAGCCTAGCCTGGGTAACTTTTCAGTGCCGACGGTGATTGTAACCCACAGAGGGTGCAGTTTCTTTTTTGCCCCAGGGTGTTGCAAGAAGAGGCACCCAAAACCCTTGCCAGGCGCCCCACAACCTGACCCCACCCTGGGGGCTGCCACACAGTGCAGGGACACATGGGGACGGCCCTCAAAGGACGTCAGAGGGTTGGAGCAGTCCCAGACGTTTGTGCCCCAGCACAGCGTGGCAGGGCCATGGTGTGTGATGGGGCTGGGGCTCACAACCATGGGAGAAGGAAATGCAGAGGAGGAAGGGGCATCCCCCTCCAAAGGCACCGGCAGCCAGGGGCATCCGCACGGCTCTCCAGGCATGGGCACATCCACCGGACACACGCAGGTGGGCACTGCCAGGCACGGACACCTGCTGGGGCATGTGGGGATGTGACCTGTGTGCCCCAAGATGGCCCATGGGCAGCACCTCTCCCTGCTCACCGCACTCATGCACACACATGCACGTGCACACGCGTGCACACATGCCTGCGCGCACACACAGACAGAGGGGACGGCGCTCGCTCTGCCTCTGCACCGTGGGCTGACAGCCAGGAATCGCGGTGCCGGAGGAGAAAAGGTTTCTCACGCCTCCGCAAGCGGAGCTGAAGGGCAAATCGCTTTTGATGAGCCAAAACATTCCCAGTTTCCTCCCTCCGGGAAAGCAGAAGGAGGCCTTGCAATCCCCTGAACCCAATAAATACCAGGGGGAGAGAGCGCCCCTTCTCAGCCCCGCAAGAGCTAAGCCACAAAGGGTTAAATACCCCCCTCCCTAAACAAGCAGAGATGCTGAAACCGCTGGGGAATTGGGAGGGAAAGGGGCAAGAAAAGGTCTGTGTGGTGTGCAGAGGGAGGAGGGATGCGGGTGTAGGAGGGGGGCCCTCCAGGACAGAGTG